CCACCATTTAGGGGACATTTTGCTGCACAAGAGGCAGATGTCTCTGAAAAAAAAGAGCAAAACAGTTGAGGGTAGAGCTTCTCCCCGGGACTCAGATTTGTACTGTGTGCAGGAAGAAGCTGGTTACATCCTCTGTGTAGGGGAAGGCACCCTGTGCAGACACAGATTTATTCCATATAAGGTCAAAAATGGCCATAGATGGGCTAAATCTCTCTATATTAACCCAATATACAGGAGAAAGAATTCCAAGTTACGCGGTGACTGGAATTTCATCCTATGGGATGTAAGGGCATTGCAGCCCTACACAGAGGATGATGCTCCTCACTCGAGGCTCATGAGACCAGGGATGGAGGAGGAATTTCTCTGTACCGAGAGTGTGCATGTTTCTGCAGAGAGGAGGGCACTGAGGAGGACTTGATCTCAAAGACATTCCAGCCCCTGGCAGCCACTGACTTCTATAGTGGGATGCCTGTGGAATTTGCCTGTGTGGAGGAAGGTCAGGTGGAGATGAGATGTTAGAGGGAGCTCTTGGAAATTGGACTAGGCCAAGTCTCCACTCTGTATTTAGAGTTGAATGTAAGCTGATATATAACTGTATACCATAGCTACTGTACAGTATATAGGAAATTAACCTTCATATGGTCTGAGGAGTGGTTAGAAGCCTTTCTGTTGCTTGCTTCTAGCAGGGACAGGAAGAGGTGCTCCTCTCCAGGAGAACACTGTTTTAATGCTAGAGTCCATATAATGCACACAAAAATATTAAAAGAAAATTTATTTCCTGTTATTCTTGGCACCTCTTGTGTTTGGATTTATTTGTCTCTAGCTGTGTTTCCTCCAGATTTGTGGGCAGACCTGACTCCAGCCCACATCTGTTGTTTGGACCTCTTTACTAGCTCAGTCCTCCGCTGCCACCCTCCCTTCACTCAGGAATCACAGGTCTTCCTGGGAGGTCAGTATTTTTTCTAGAGATACAGAAAATTATCTTCAGCATTTTTTGCTACTGAAGAGAGGGGTGACTCCTCCCAGCCCATGAGATTTGTGTGGAGAACATATCTTTTCACTGTGCATGTGCCGTGACTTGCTGGTGGAGAATTCAGAAGAGCCATGATAAAACTTCTCATAAGCAAAGAATTTGTTCACTGGAGCCCTTGAACTCAGTAATGGGAGTAAGTGCAAGAATACATTAAAAATTGCACATCTAGCTGAAAAGGATTAGGAAAATTTCTCTTTCATTGAATTTCTGACTTGTGCATAGATTCATCAAGCGCTGATTGTACTTGATCAAAAAGATGGAGCACCCAGCACATGGGGGACTCTAGGCAGTGTCTTCATGTGCAAAGCAGTCAACTCTGCATTTAGATGGTATTTCTGGAACAAAAGTGGCTGTAGCCCAGATTACCCATTCAACAGCTTGTGACAGCATCCCATAGTTCTTCAGGACTAAACCACACAATGCAGGTTCTTGCACAACAGTGTCCCGGGGAATCAGTGCTCCTGCCTGGCTAACGCTGCGGGGTCCCCAGCTTGGATTGTTAAAATGAGAACGGCCTCAGCCCAAGTGACTGTGGATGTTGCTCCTGATGCACAGACCCGACCCTGCTCTGACTCAGGAGCTCTTGGCCTTTGCAGTGTCCCTCTGTCAGCACCTTCCACCAGCTCTGTGAGCAAAGTACAACGTATGCCATTGGCTTTTTGTAATTCAGTTTGTTCTTCCCTTTCCTTACAGTGCTGGTGTCCACAGACAGGCTTCCCCATCTTCATAGAATCATAGAATGGGTTGGAAGGGACCTTAAAGCTCATCCAGTCCCACCCCCCCTGCCATCAGCAGGGACACCTTCCACTAGACCAGGTTGCTCAAAGCCTCATCCAACCTGGCCTTCAACACTTCCAGGGAGGAGCAGACACAGCTTCTCTGGCCAACCTGGGACAGTGTCTCACCACCCTCACACCAAAGAATTTCTTCCTCACATCTCATCTCAATCTTCACTTTGCCAGTTTCAAGCCATCACCCCTTGTTCTGTCACTCCCTGCCCTTGGACAAAGTCCCTCCCCACCCTTCCTGGAGCCCCTTCAGGTACTGGGAGGCCGCTAGAAGGTCTCCCTGGAGCCTTCTCTTCTCCAGGCTGAACAGCCCCAACTCTCTCAGCCTGTCCTCACAGCAGAGGTGCTCCAGCCCTCACATCATCCTCGTGGCCTCCTCTGGACTCGCTGCAGTAGGTCCAATCTTCATTAGCACTTATCCCATACCTAGATTAATCTCTCCTGCCATTCCAACCTCAGCTGTTGTGGTGCTGCGTTTCTGGACGTTGCTTTCTCTTGTAAGCTGGGGAAATGATTTTAAACAGAGCTCCAGCTAGGTCTGTTTCTCATAAGTTGGACTAGCCACAAAGACAGCATCTAGAGTCCCATTTTAGAAGCGTGATCTAGAGTTTGTGGCTGATTTTCATAAACTCTTCTGACCCGGGACAGGAGTTAGATGGCCTGCAATGGCTGTTCTTGCTCATTTTGCTGTCGTGGCTCCTGAGTACTGATCAGTGTTGCCAGTTTGAAGGCTGCTGTTTCAAGGCCAGTGCTCTGATGCCTGGTCCCCAGTTTGAAGCAGTACGTGGCTTTGGTGGGCATATGGAGCTGGAGTTCCTCACAAGGGCAGCTGGGCACACTGAGGGCTTTCTGCTGTGCCTGGAAAGCAAGACTTGTTCCACCTTCCCATCTCCTTTTTGTTCTCTGCCTCTATTTTCCTTGTCCCTTTCTCCTCTGTTCAGATGTTCATCTTGGAGCCAGAAACATGGTGAGGAGGACAGTGGGGCTGAAGTAGGGTGGCAGGAAGGGTGTTTGATGAGGTGACACACAACGTTGCTGAGTGGGGCTGGGGGAAGTTCTTGGCCCATGCCAGATCTTCTCTTCTCTTGCCCTCTGGTTCTCACACGCTGCAGCTCCCTCAGCTGCCAAGCTTGGGATTTTCTGAAGGGAAGGATATGCCAGTCAGAGCAGGGAGAGGAGAATGGCACCTCAGGTCAACTTGTGCACCGTGGGAAGAGCAGCCACATGTCTTGTAGTGGTGGCCTTTGGCTGCAGAAGGAAGACAAGGAGGAAGGGGAGTGCTGTGGGAAAGCGCAGGGAGGCTGTTGGGAGCAGCTGCCATGTCAGCTGGAAGCTCCATGTTGCCTGGATCTTGTCCACAAGAACCTGCAGCATGAACAAAACATGTTGTCATCAGGCCTCTCAGCTTGGAGGGATCTATCAAGAGCATGCTGCTGGCTGGGGTGTGGGCTGGTCCTTCACAGAGGGGAGCAGGGCTTGCAACCCATCCAAAAGACCACCTCTATTATGTGGGGGTGGGTCTGTCAACCAAGGAACAAGTGACAGGACAAGAGGAAATGGCCTCAAGCTGTGCCCAGGACAGTTGAGATTGGATGTGAGGAAGAATTTCTTTGCTGAAAGGGTTCTGAGGCACTGGAAGGGGTTGCCCAGGGAGGTGGTGGAGTCCCCATCCCTGGAGGGATTTCGGAGTCATGTAGACATAGTGCTGAGGGACATGGGTTAGTTGGGGACTTGTCAGTGTTGGGCTCATGATTGGACTCAATGATCTTACAGGACTTTTCCAGTCGAGGCCATTCTGGGATTCTGTGTGAAACTGGGTTGAAACAAAAGGGATTAAAAAGAAAAAAAAAAAAAAGTGGATTTAGGATTTTTTTTAAGAAGATTTTAAAGGTACATGATCCCCTGCCATTTACTTCTGGCACCACATGGTCTGACATTCAGTCACAGAACACCAGGTTGGAAGAGACCTCAAGGATCACCTGGTCCAACCTTTCTTGGCAAAATCACAGACATTGGTTGAGAGTCTGCCTCTGTCCAGTTGTGAGCAGCCCCTTGACTGGGGCACAGGAAATCTGAATTCCATTTCTGGATCTCCTCTTCACCTCCTGCTCTCTGATCTTCAGCGTATTGCTTCGCTTCTCTCTGGTCCCTGCCATCCTTAGCCTTTGTGATGTAGCGAGCTGGATTAAAAATAGAAAGCTGGATTTTAGTCTATTAACATAAACCTATTAAAAAAATGTGTGAAGCACCATGAATGAATTTGATTGTCTACTTTTGCTATTAATGTAAATGATTTTTTTCAAATAAAAAATGTTTTCAATAATATAAATTCTATCAGTTAAAATGCAGGCTGCATGTGCTTGTTGCTACTGTGTTGAAGTATATAAAAAAAATGAATTGGTGAAAGTCATCAGCAGAAGAAAGCTTCATTTCATGAATAAATTCTCTTTCAGAATGCTGTTTTGGGGCTTTTTACTAAGATTGCAATTTCCATACAAATACAGCTTGTCACAGATTGGACATTGCCAAAAAGATGTAATAAATAAATATACGTAATTCAGTGTGTCTGAGGAATAACTAATGTGAGAACTCACCTGCTTAAATATAAGAATAAATGTGCATGAAGCTGTGCATTATTTTAAATAAATGTCTTTATTGAGATAGTATCACTTCCCAGTTAAGGTCATAAATAAAATTACGTTGACAGTGAGCAAGCAGAGCTAACTCCAAAGTTAAGCAGATTGCTCAGACCTTGTCCAGCTGAATTTTGAAAAAGTCAGCAAGGATGGAGAATCCACAACTTCTTCCAGTGCTGCACCACGCTTATGCTGGAGAATATTTTCCTGATGTCAGATCAGAAATTCCTTTGTTGCAGCTTTTGCCTGTTGCCTCTATTTTTGCTGTGCACCTCTGAGCAGGCTCTGTCTCCATCTCCCCTACAAATACCGCTGCAGACAAGTGAAGAAAATAGCAAGAAGAAACATTTAATGCATACAAAGCCTGAGCTTTAGTGCAAAACAAAGGATTTTAATTATTACAATTCATTATCTTCCTTTGGGGGAACTGTTAGAAAAATGCAAAACTTGATGAAAATCCATGGTTCAAGGAAAGAATTGTCACTCTGTGTCCCTGAAGCAAGACACTTTGTCTGTGCTCACAGACCGTCTGCTTCTCATGCGCTACCTTCTCAGCCTGAAGGCCACTTTCGATTTCTCTGCCTTGGGTTTAGGAGCCTTGGGTTTCACTGGTTTGCCCTTTTCTAGATCTTTGCCTTTTTTGGTCTGTCAGCTTTTGTATTCTGTAAACTCTTAATTGCTTTCTCGGCCATGGTGGCTGCCAGTTTCTTGGCTTTCCTTGGGATTTCCTTCACAGCCACAGCTGATCTGGGCTTCTCGGCAGTGCCAAGTAAAGGGTCCGGTGATTCTTGGCCTTTGCTGCTATCTTGGCACCTTCCTCTTGGTTTGTTGTTGAGTTTAAAGGAGTTAGAAGTACCAAGTCCTCTTGTGCTGCCCGTGTCCAGGCTCCTGAGCCCCAGGCTCGTGCAGCTGGTGTCCTTCTGTACTGCGTAGACTTCAACTCCCTTTCCAAGTAGTGAGAGAAAGTTCTTCCTGGAAAGAACTTTCCTCCAGGAAAAATCCTGGAGGGATTGAAGAGTCATGTAGACATAATGCTTAGGGACATGGGTTTAGTCAGGGACTTGTCAGTGTGACGTTAATTGTTTGTCTCGATGATCTTAAAGGTCTTTTCCAGTCTAGGCAACTCTGTGATTCTGTGCTTCTTGGAGATAGTCATCACCCTCATAATTAGCCCTGCTGGAGACTGAGGCCTTTCAGGATTTGGATCATCCTGACACCTTCTCTGGCTTCTTAGCCAATGCCTTAGAGGCTGGAGCAGCAGTGGCACGTGCAGCAGCAGCAGTTGCTTCAAACACGATAGCCAGCACAGCCTCCCAACATGACGTCTTGACCAAGGTTTTGGTTTCACACTGACGCACGTGTCAGCATGCCAAGCACTAGGTGCCTTCTACCCACACAGCCTTTCCATGCTGAAAGGCATTCCCATGGGGCTTACTGCTGGGACTGTGGCACCAAAGGTGTTCTTACACCTCACCATGTCTCTTGTCTGGTACCCAAATAGCACAGATCAGCTGGAGCAAGCTGTGTTGGCCGTTATTATGGATGAACAAATAAAACTTGTTTTCCTCCACAGCCTGGTCCTTGATGTGGAGAAAGGGTTCAAAAGAGTTTATCTTCTGTCTGGTGCAGTGTGAATTTAGTCGTTCTGAGACTTTCCACACTGAGGTCACAAGTGATTTTCTGGTTTGAGCCCAGCACCATCATTACACCATCTCTTGGCTCCATTGCCCATCAGCTGATATCTTTGTATTTTCCACTTCAAAGTAAATCTACCTGTGTCCTACCCTACCTGTGCCTGCACAGAAATGATAGAAGAGATGAGTGGACATGGTGGAAGTGTTGAAGGCCAGGTTGGATGAGGCTTTGAGCAACCTGTTCTAGTGGAAGGTGTCCCTGCTGCTGGCAGGGAGGTTGGAACTGGATGAGCTTTAAGGTCCCTTCCAACCCAAACCATTCTGGGATTCTATGACTCTGTGGTGTCACCTCGTTGAGTACAGACTGGGCAAAGTGAACTTAACTGGTTGTGTATGCGAATGCAAGAGTTGTGTATTTTAGTGAGATGTAGTTGTTTTGGGGCCACATCTAAGTGGGAAGCAGAAGCAATGCTACAAGCATTGTCTAAAACCAAGGGGCACCAGTGAATTGGAATTTCTGATGATGATGATGATGATGATAATAATCATAATAATAATTCGTAATTAGTAATTTCCCAGGGTCTTTGTTTCCCCTTTAGATTCTTCCTTTTCTTTCTCTCCTCTGCTTTCTAGGAGCTTCTACCAGCCTTTCCATCCAAGCAGAAGCCATGTTTTTGGCTGGAACATGAAAGGGTATTTTTAAGCTCCATGAAATTAGCTGGGAAGTTCTCAGACTCTTGGGTACCCTTCTCTGCCTGGACTACTAGCTCAGGTGTGTCACAACTCTGACTTCACTGCTTACAGCAGAAACTTGGAAGCCTCCCATGTGGTCATGGCGAAAGAATTGACTGTTGCTAACAGTCAGCAGGGCTGGGCATGGCAGTGCACAAGCAAGAAGGAAGACAGCAGAGATATCACAGCGAAGGATGAGATCCTCATAATGCAATGAGAATCACTTTTCACCTCCTTCTCCCTCTCTTCATGGGCCTCAGGATGGATGTCCCATTCCACCCCCATTGCCAAGAGCACTGGGCCCTCTGGAAGAGAACCAGGGAGTCAGGGGAAGATCCCTAATTCTACTGTCTGGCACTTTGGCATTAGGGAGTAGAGGTTAGTGGTGGCATCCCACAAACCTTTGGGATGTGGCCAGTAATAAAGAGCATAGAAGCAGCTCTGAACTCTGGGAGGAGGAAGACAAGAACATAGCAAGGCTATCTTAAATCTTCTGAAAACGCTTGCTTTGTTGAGAAGAAAACTTTGTAAGATGCAAGAACACAGTTCATGAGGACCTCCAACCAAGGAAAGCTTGCACAACTGCAGGGAACTCTGAATACATGACTGCAAGCCAAGTAATGTGCAACATGCTGCTCTTTAGTGAGCTCCCAAGCACTTCTGTCACAGCCTGTCCAGTAAAGGACTTCTCCAAAGACATCAGGGAAATTAAAATCAGGATTTACCATCCAGGCCCCAGGTGCAAGCTCTTTTTGCACCGAGTAGCATGAGCTGCAGCAACTGCACAAAGAGGAGCTAATAACAGGCAACTTGGGTCTGTGAAACCATAACCACAGCTAGAAGGTGAGTCTCATTGTGAAAAACTGCGGTGCAAAACTGAGTTTCTCCCCGTGACTAGCAGATGATTGCAGAGATACGGAGTCACTGACTTCCATGAAGGAGGGGGAAGATGTGGTTGGGAGCAGGGTCTTGGGTGCCCAGAGCAGGAGGCTGAGCTGTAGGAGATCAGAGTAACACTAGAACTCAGCCTGCAGCTCCTCGTGCAAAAAGAGGGTGTTCTCCAGCTCTGTGCAGCATGGAGTCAGCAGCCAGGTCAGATGGGTAGGGTGCACTGGAGTCTGGAGCTGTGTGCACTGCTGTGGGAAGCAGCAAGGTGCAAGCAGCTCTGGTGGGTGCTTCCCCAGCCCCAGCTCTCAGCGTTGGGGAGGGTGCATTCTGCTTTGATCGCAGACTGTGTTTCTCTTTGTGTAAATGAGATAAGCTGCCAACCATGTCATGGCCTCAAGCTAGAGAACATGCTTGAGGACATGTAGTGCAAGTACTTGGACTTTGGTCATGTTTATGACCTGCATTCATGATGAGGGAGCCGTTCACTAGGTCTCAAATACCTCATGATCATGTTTTGTACCTGAATTCATGTTGGGGAAGCTGTTCACTAGGTCTCAAACTCCTCATGGTCATGTTTCTTACCTGCATTCATGATGGGGGAGCCATTCACTAGGTCTCAGACTCCTCATGATCATGTTTCTGACCTGCATTCATGATGGGGGAGCCATTCACTAGGTCTCAAATTCCTCATAATCGTGTTTTTTACCTGAATTAATGATGGAGAAGCCATTCACTAGGTCTCAAACTCCTCCACCCAACCTAGCCTCTTTCCTCGCTTCCTGCCGATAATCTTGTCAGATGTCAGTCACTGGTAGCAAGGGATGGCTGCTTAGAAACCTGGTGGGAGAACTAATATAGGTAGGGAGGGAAAAAATGGTGGGGTCACAGGGGCAGGATGAAGGGTCATTAGTTGCTTTAAGGAGCCCCAGGCTGGGCTAGCAGAGAGCTGCAGGGCAGGAATGAGAGGCACTCACAGGACTGTGGTTGAAAAACGCGTACTCAATTCAATAGTTTCAGCCTAATTTGCCTCATCCCCCAACACCAAAACAAGCTCAGCAGTGGAACAAAAATAAACCACGAGTCAAGTCTCCAGGTAAAGTTTTTGCAGTGCAAGCCTGGAAAGCCAAATTACTAGTGAAACACGTAATAACGTACAATCCTAGTGCACACCCAGCAAGCAGATGCCCTCAATTCTTCTGCATGGGTGGCATCCTCTACAATCCTTCAGCATGTAGCAGTGCACAGTGAAGAGGTCCAGGCTTCATAAACCCACTCACCAGTGGCACCTCCACACATCCTGACCTCCTGCCTTCTCTCCTTCCCACGTCCTTCTGCTGACCTTGGATCCCTGCTCTCCTCTGATAGAGGTGTAGCCCCAGTGACACTCACCCCACAGTGTTTTAGATGTGTATTTGCACCCCTCCCACCATGCACCCCCCTCTTGGTGATGTCCACCCTGATGGACCTCCAACAGGTCCTGACAGCTCTCCTGTATCTCCGTGGTGCTGCAAATTCCACACCATGAAAGGCAGGGCTTTGCCATTGCACTGCTGAAACCTTCACCCCAGGCACAGCGCCCACAGCTGAGTCACAAGATGAGTTGGTGGCTCTAGGGACAAGACCCTTTGCCCCGTGTCCTAGACAGCAAGCTGCCTCTACATCTAGTGTGGATTTATTTTTTACACCCAGGACTGGGGTAATGGGAGTGGTCTGCCTGGCAGATGTGCCTGAGCAAGTGAGTTATCTGTGTGTTGGGTCTGTCACCACCCAAAATAGAGTCATGAATCTTTGTGCAATGGACACAGAATATAATGTAACATGCTTATGAAAAATCAGCGCTTTTAGATATGCTTATGCTTAGTATATAATTCTTATATTAATCATGGAATCCCAGACTGGTTTGGGTTGGAAGGGACCTTAAAGCTCATCCCGTTCCAACCCCCCTGCCATCAGCAGGGACACCTTCCACTAGACCAGGTTGCTCAAAGCCTCATCCAACCTGGCCTTCAACACTTCCAGGGAGGAGCAGACACAGCTTCTCTGGGCAACCTGGGCCAGGGTATCACTACCCTCACAGTGAAGAATTTCTTCCTCAGATCTCACCTCCATCTCCCCTCTTCCAGTTTCAGGCCATTAAATAAGCATATCATATTGTATGTGCTTATAATAAATAATGATGATAAGCAAGAACATCAACTTATTTATTTGCCTGTGTCTAACTGCAAGGAACTCTGCTGTTCCCCTGCTCGAGGTCTCTGTGCAAGTCAGTGTCCGTGATGCCTCAGCACTTGTTGAGCAGAGAAAGTTCTTCTGCTTGAGGTTTTCGCTTGAGGCAAGGGGAAGCAGGTGTCTGCGTTTCTGGTGTTCAGCGTAAGAACCAACCAACTGGTGCTGGTGGCGCTTGTTTCAAAATGCGATTTCTGAGCAAAGGGTGAGTGGAAAAAATAAATATGTATTTATATCAGTACACACCAACACACGACTTCCTGTTGACTAAACAAGCAACCTCTCCTCTGCTTTGGGGCTAGGCAATTACTTTTAATTATTCACCACATTTTCGCTCTCTGATTTCTCAGCAGTTTGCTTGCTGAATCTTTAGTAACAGCAACGGCAGTGTTCCTCTGCCCGCTCCTACACTGCTCTTCAGCCTGCTGCTGCTCTCTGTTGTTCTCACTTCAAGACAGGGAAAAAAGCCCCAGGTACAAGGAACCTGAAGAGATGTAGGACATCCTTCTGTGATCCTGACCAGCTAGAGAAGTGTCTCCTGCTAGATAACGCTCCAGACACATCAGGACAGGGACCCTTCCTAGCCATCCCCACCAGCCTTTAACTCACCCAGGCTTTGATCAGAAACAGAGATGGAGTAATTTTCAGTAAAATTGGTTTTTTGTCCCAGTCCCTTCTCCAAAAAAGTTTGCATTGAGCAGAAAAGATGGAAAACTGGAGTGGTCAGCATCTCTCCTCATGTGTCTTAGCTCCCAGACAAAAGGGTCCCACCATAAGTCAAATGATCTGACAGTTTACAGCCAGGGAGGAAGCTGGACTAGCAGCTAGATCAGGGATCAGCAACCTTTCCATGGCTTTCCAAACTTTTTTTTTTTTTTTTTAACCAGGGCAGAGGTGACACCTGCTAATGAGCAAGGTCAGGGCCACAAAGGTGATGAGGGGCTGGAGCGTCTCCCGTATGAGGAAAGGCTGAGAGAACTGGGACTGTTCAGCCTGGAGAAGAGCAGCCTGAGAGGGGATCTGATCAATGTCTATAAATATCTGAAGTGCAGGGGCCAAATGGATGGCACCGGGCTCTTTTCGGTGGTTCCCAGTGACAGGACAAGGGGCAATGGGCATAAACTGGAACACCAGAAGTTCCAGACAAACTTAAGGAAAAACTTCTTTCCTGTGAGGGTGCCAGAGCCCTGGGACAGGCTGCCCAGAGAGGGTGTGAAGTCTCCATCTCTGGAGATGTTCAAACCCACCTGGACATTTTCCTGTGCAACCTGGTTGCTGTAGGGAACCTGCTTTGGCAGAGGGGCTGGACTGGATGATCTCCTGAGGTCCCTTCTAACCCCATCATTCTGGGATTCTGTGACTGCAGCTCCTTCTTTAAGCAGAATTAGGCAGGAGCTGAGAGTCCCTCTTGAGATGTTGCCCTAGGCTTGCTATGAGACACTGAAAACATCCACACCAACAGGTTTCTGCTCTGAGGACTGAAGCTAGAGGCAGAGAATCGCTGCCACTGCCTTTATGCCTTCACATCTCCAGTGTGAGGGAAGTCACCTGTCTAAAGGAAGGGCATCAGAAAGCCTACATCAGTATTTAGGCTTGAGAGCCCCACCAAAGAGTGACATAAATACAGTTCATCTGTTCATTCATTCACCCTTTCTCTGTGGAGAGCAAAGAGGCTCTCAACGTTTAAGGAAAAGAGCTGATGTTTTAAACATGGCAGAATGAATTCCACTTACAGGCAGGACCAGAGGAAGGATCTAGTTAAACTTTTTATGAGACTTGACATGTTAAAACTTTGAGAAAATACTTATGCACACATTTAATATATGGAGAAGACCAGGCTGGCCAAGGAGATATTTCTTGCTCTCCAGGCTGGCCATGAAGATATTTCACCTCTTTTCAGAGAAGAAAATGTTATGTAAAATTTTCTACAAGCTTTTGGCTCTGGAAATTAGGAGCCAGAACAAGAATAAAGCTGAAGCTACCTTGATTTATCTGATTAAAAACAAACAATTGTGATTTCTAAGAAGCAGATTTCCCAGGGTGTGTTGTGCTTTTTTTTTGTCTCTTTTTTTTTTTTTATGTCCTGTGTAACAAACATCCTCCTTGCATTACTAAAATATAAAACTAGTATGAAAGGGGGATGAAATGACTCTTGATGTGACCTATGGGAT